TGTGTACCCGGGTAGCTCCGAGCTCCTCCTTCTCTTTTTTCATCGCTTTGGGGCCTTTCCTCTTGGTCTGGCAAAGAACTTTTTCGTTCTCCCAACGGGCTGATCTTGCTCCAGAATAATACGCATTGCTTCTATCGCCACTTTTAGTAGGCCTTATGCTTGTCAAGACCTTGCACTGGCTGCCTAGCGTCGCTGTAAGTGCGTCGTAATTTGTGAAGAGTCAACACTGAATCATACGGGGTGGTGTAGTTGCAAGCCTTAACAGTTACTTGTAGGTAAACACACAAAACGCATTTAATCATTTTTATTTGAAGGAAAAGGCCGTTCTCCTGTCTTTAGCTTATCGAAATACGTGGTCGTGACAGTGTATATGCGATCATGGCATAAAAGCAGGTGTCGCCATTATGCGGGATTGCAATTACCCGAAAATTTTTGAACTGAAATTGTAAAGGACCAGAAAGGAATATCGAATCCCAAAGCTGCAAGAACAGAGCCACGTTTACCTTTACAAAGGTTTTTTTTTGTTTGAATACTATCGGTCTAACAAAGGCAAGGCGAAAAGATGATATATGGTGAGTTAATGAACTTAGTATTTTTCTGACTGACTATTATTGTCGTATCGCCCAGTTAGCGATTCCTCTAGCTAGGAAATCCCTGTCTAGGGAACGCTGAATAGGCATATGTATATTGATCTGTGTTCAAGGATGTTCCTAATTCAAACGCACGAGAGGGTTTCAAGTAAGGGAGATGTGAAAGAGATGAAGAAATCCTTCTTGATTGCTATATGATGGCAGCAAACTCTGCCCCACACTCGTTGCCGCAGTCCGCTTCAAGGAAGAATGCCTTGCAAGGAGGAATTGCCTCATATGGAGTCATCTCTCGCCAAATTCAAGGGCATATTTGTTTAGCGGATCAGCAAAGTGTTCGCTAAAAAAGTTGCTAAAAAAATACATGCGACTATCCAATGGTAACAAGAGGGAATGCAGTGGTACGTTGCGCAGAATCCTAGTTTGGTCATCACACGGCATTATACCAAGTCTTTCATTAGGTGATACAGTTTTTGTCAGTGGAAAGGATCGAGATCCAGCAAGTCCGGTTAACATCTTATACGGGACATGGAGGTCAAAAGTCATAATAAGAGTAGTAAGCCTTATAGAGCAATTTTTCTGTACTGTTCATTCAAGCCTGAATTTTCGATGCACAAGAGGAACATACGCGATACATGTGTGTGTAGAACACAATTTGTTGTCAACAAAAAGCCTATCGACCCTTTTCACACGAATCGAAGTTCAGGCATTTAAATGGGATAAGAAGCTACTATCCGCTCAGGTGGCGCTTAGAAACATTGATAAATAGCAAGAATGTCCTTCCTTGCAAAGTGTGTCTTCTGATGGCTGGTGTGGTAGAGAGTTTATGGAGAAGACGTTTTCGGAGATCAGCTAGATGGTAAGGACACAGAACTATCGTACGTAGGACGAATACGATTTAAAGTTAGTTAGCTAAGCTGGTTCCGAAAGCATATAAAAAAAGTTAAACGCCCAAACACGATTGTGTTACGATTGTTACTTTACGTTCGGCTAAAGTGATAATACTGACACTGGCCAATGCGTTACTATAAATGGAGGACGTATTATGACAGCACCAGTTTATATGTATCGTTATAGGCGTTCACCTATACCGCTGACTGCCGCATCTGCTGCTTTGGTAGCAAAAGAGGTATTAAGGTCTGCTGAAAGCATTGCTGTTCTTCTTAGTTTTAGCGCCGGATTATTAGTATCTACGAAAAAGCATCGTCTCCCTTCATAACCTTTTTTGATAACCGGATACCAACGTTGCTACTGTGCGGAATGCTCGAAGATACAAAGACTTCGTAAGGAGAAAAGTGGCTTTAATATACGATGGGGCCGAACGATTGGACTGACGTTACTCTCCAAGTAGCTAACGTCATGCCCTCGGGCCGTACTAGTGCCATCGTAAGCATCAGCATCAACTGCATCATCATCATCATCAAAAAAAGTAGCGGAATCATAATGATCTGTATCATTTCCATGGAGGCCCTCGCTACCAGCAGCAATGACGAGGGCGAAATGTTCGAATCACCACAGAGTCAAGCCATCTGTCATACATCATCCATGAAAGATTATCTGCTTTTTATTTCTTCGCATTGCAACCATTGGGACAATGCGGGGCGGGGAGCGAAGATCCTTCCACGCGTTCCAGCCGATCGAGACAACGTGTGTCTTCGGGGAACTTTTCGATAGAGGGTTATCATAGTGACCGATGTTGGTCGCTCTGGTTCGACGCAGAGCCACACCGTTCCGGTGGCCCTTATGGTTCCCCATTCAGCTATTCCTATGACAACTAGCAAATAACAAATCGTCAAGAACACCAAAACCACAATGAAGAGCTTACGCCCATGATACCGGCTGGCTAGACTGTCATAGATAAAATTGACAATAGAATGCTAGCCACACACGCCGTATTGTTACGTCAGATGGCTGTTGGAACTATAGTATTGTTAGAAGTAGCTGACATGAAACAAACTTTTACTGCCCGTACTCATTGGCCCGTTGCCGCAGATCATCAGGCCTTTGCCGTCATTCGAGGGTGGAAAAGGCTTCTGGGCTTCTGTTAATCAACTTTGTAGGACAGGATGATCAGTAATACCGGCAACCGTGTCAATTGCAGGAGGAATCAAGTCCTACAGAAATAACAACAAAAGGCCCCAGCCGGTTGGAACAAAGTTTTTAGAAGCGGTTTTCATCTTTTTCATCTGTAGTTGCGTTACTCAATGCCGTCCTGCACTCTCGTTGCCTCTGTTTAGCTGAACAAGCAGAGGCGCACAAACGGCCACAGGCCGACTTAGACTTTCCGTTTTCGGCAGCTAGCGGCACTGCCATTTTTGGCTATTGTTGCTTGGCAAACGTGACTTCCATTCAGTATTCCATCGGTTCCTTTTCCACAACTATGACCGTAACCTGGTCTTGTCTGGCCAATATAAATATGGCACAGCGATATTAAAACAACAGGGAACAGAGTCGCGCGTTGAGAATAAGACAGCGGGCCGATTCGTGGAGCGGCGGGGAAAATAAGGTGAAAAACGCTGCTTCCGGACGTCGTTTTCAGTGTTATCGAGCGGAATCTCAATAAGCCCAGCACATCTTCAACGGCCAGCCCAGCATTGAAACATTCCATGGTCACTAACTACTATCACTTTAATAGTATTATGAGGCAGATAACGGGACAATGAAGAGTAAGTGAATTTTGAGGTGTTTGGAACATCGCCTAAATGCTGCGGTGTACCCGATGCGGTTACTACTTCTGCGACTTCTTCTGCTGTACGACAGGAAAGCTCCAAACGGGATAACAGGCAGCGCAAGGCAGTAATAGCTTTGATAAATGGTGGACAACGAACAAGTTATTATTAGGATCTCTGCCACAGACTTAATCGCCGCTTCTCGTTTAAAAAAGATGAAGGCGATTACAACGGAGATGGTGACAAGAATAAGGAAATAGCGGGAGGCACAAGGGGGAAGAAAGAACAAGCGACAGAAAAGAGAGCGAACAAGAAATGTAGGGTCCAGCGCTTGTGGGAGCAGGCTAGCAACACATAGCGAAGGAAGGCTACCAGAGGTGTCAGAGTATGTGTTGGGGTTAAACCATTGTATAGGTCCAAGGCATCTTGAAAGCCTTCTTCTTACTGCTTGGAGTCCAGAATGTCCAAAAGCTATGACAAAACCGCTCTGGCAACAACTAGGACTGGGGAAATGCTCATTGCGCCCTGTTGCCTTCGACAACAGGGCGCAATGAGCATCCTATGGCACAACACTGACGTCATAACACTGGTTGCAATCAGCAGCAGTCGTATCATATTGTACGTGTTGGCGCGGGCTAAGCAGTGTAGTCTAGGTAGAGGGAGAAAATTAAACAAGCTTATTAGAATCGGGCTAGGTTGCAAAAGGTGAAACCACCATCGTCATAATCATCGTCACCATAGCCTGATCTTGCTCCGCGCTGCGACGAACAGATGGACAGCGAAGGACAAAGAGAAACAATAGTGTACCCCTAACTAACCCTTATATAAAAAGAAAACAACAGAAGAAGAAGCGATGCAGAATGATAGAAATGAATGAATACACGCAGTATGAAGGAAAAAGGGAACTTTGGTTCGATGGCCGTCTTTTACATCGCGGACAAAGCAAACTACCTGTTTATCATTGCTCAATGTATTATTTGTCATATATACGCGATCAGCGATGCGTTAGCAAATCTAATGCGCCTTACTGGCATACTTGTTCTTCATATCACCAGATGTTCTTTACGTACAGTTTCCTTCTTCAGTAAGTGAGGTTCCTTCTCTTTGGTGTGTGATGACGAAAGGGGCTTGCCGTGCACATTTACACTGCCGTTGTGGGTAGAATATTATTAGGATGAATAATATCAACTAAATCTCAAAGTAATAGGCCGAAGCAGCCAGTCAAATAGTAGAGGATCGAGCTGATGTCTTCTAGGTATAATAACTTTACCGTATTTATGACATAGTGTTGTTATCGATAACTTGCTATATACACTATTGTATTTGGAACATCTAAAATATTGAAGACATAAGTTTGACAATACACCTATGTGTATGAGTAGCAATACAGCTATTAAGGAAGGGGTAATAACAAAAACGATATACACGGTATAGGTAGTTAGTAACATAAACAAAAAAAAAGCATACTTACATACATGCATACATGGGCTGTTTTAGCTATACTTAGTCAAATGTTAATGGGTAAATAAGGCTATGTTCCAAGACCTACATATGATAGGTAATAGCAAAACGCAAAGAAAAACACGTGTTGATGGACACAGACACTGAGGTAATCGCGTTCGAAAGACATGAATAATTCACTTTACGCTGAACTTTTTTAGATGCATTCCGCCGAGTCACCCTCACATGTTTCCAGCGTCCTACTGATGCAAGCTTAATATGTCTAAGGTTTAAAGACACTTACCCAAGCTGTGAAAGGAGCACAAGGCACATAATAGAAAATGGAACGAAGGTTCGCTTAAGCATCGATGTTAAAGCTTCGTCCCTTTTAATTATCGCTGTTGTCGTCGAAACTCCGCCAGCCGCTCGTTTTGTGTCTTTTCGTCCTTCTACTTTGGCTTCTCCGCCCTCTCCTCTTCCGAAATGGTCTGTTTTTGCTCCTTCGACCTTCTGGTCTTCTCCTGATCTCCTCGCTGTTATGGTGAATAGAGGGGAGCACTCCTGTTGTTCTATCAGCGTTTTTCCATAGTTGTATTTAATATTCATGTTATCAGCTGTCTTATTTAGATGATGATTACACATTGTTATCCAGCTATTGCTGTTATTTCTGTCGCCGTAATGGCTGTAGTTACGGTAACCGTTGGCGAATTGTTGCGTCGGTAACGGTATAGGTAGCGATCGCGCGGGGGATCGTTCTAGAGCACTGAGCGTAGACCGCGGATCCCAACCTCCTGCAGAACGTGCAGTGGTAGCATCACCGTCATCGAGCAACATCTGCCTTATCAACCGACACCCTCTAGTCATCGCCGATGACAACAACGATCAGGGAGATGCAAATCCACTAACGGTGGCGGTGGCGTACCATCAGGTTCTGCTGGGATTCGAAGATATCCTCATGCGGTCATGATCGCTCAGCGATGAGACGAGGGCTGTCAAGCGAAGACAGCCGTACAGCTGCCTGCCAATAGTAAAGGACGATCTAATCAATTTTTGGTATTATATGGGCACTAAGTCCAACGACCGAGGACCTCAATGGCACAGATGGAGAGGATATGAGAGAAAGAAAACACACCAGTGGCCTGTCGCTGATCTCTGTTATAGTTATCTCATTAGCCACAATTATCTAACCACCATTTTCATTTGCATAACCACGAGCAGCACCATGCACCCACTACGTAGAAGCTTCGTTTCTCCGTTGTCGAGCCGCTCCCCTGACGAACGACCCCTTTCTGCGATTGCAGCTCCTGCCGCTCAACGTATCAACAGTACGTACTACTAGAATTACCACCACTAGCACAGTGATCGTCGCACTAATGACTAACTGTCGTTGAACACAAAACTATTAAAATGATTGCACTCCCTCTGCGGATAGCAAAGGAGGCCCTACTATTCGTGGCGCAGTCGTCCGTCTGGCAGGACAATCCAAAACGCCAGTCAGATCGCTGTTAACCGCCGCCAGTAGTAGCAGTAATGGAAGGAACCCAGCATCGCCGGAATCGGATGCTACAACGACCAGTCGGCTATAAGTGCCCTAGGTTGTATAGGGCAACTAGACAACAACGAGAACAGTAATGATAAGAAAAGGATCAGCCAAAACGCACAGCTCGGACCACGGCCTGCTGCTCTGATCGTGGTGTACGGCGCACGAGGAGAAGAGAAAGCTCGTTTCCCGCGCAGGCCCCGAACAGAGGAAAGAGAAGGCGCCTGAAAGAAAGGGCTTAATGTCGAGTCATAGGGACTCACACCTAATAGTATAGACCCTAACCTTATAGGAACGACACAGCGCACATACACACGAGTGGGTTGGATGGACGAAGAACCGAGAATCAACTAGACTACCGATCAAGAGAACCGTTAGACAACCCGACCACCGGAGGGCGCCACCGTATCTGCTAACCTCGAAACAGCGATAGCAGTCAGCAGGCGAGGCAAAAAGTGACCTACCAGGATCTAACGCAAGAAGTATCGCGATAAGAGTTTCACCATAACGGGCTGATGCTAATCGAGAAAGTAAAGTTTTAACGGCATCACAATTGAATATGTGTTTAAGAGAATACACTCGTTTTTTATTTGATATATACACTAGTATATCGTTATATCATTTATATAGAGTCCACCTAATATACACACACACACACATATATATATATATATATATTTGTTATGTATGTAACTTTTTGTTTGCCTTATATGCATACGTTTGTTAAATATGGTTGTCTTAGTAACGAAAACAGTAAAAAGTTATTTGAAACAATTTTGTAAAGGTCAAGTAAAAAAATTCTTTCCAGACTCTCAAGTTTACCAGTAAGCTTCCTTGGAAGCCGTAGTACTAGCCCTGAGGCATTGCCCGATCGAAGTGATCAGATTGCAAAAGTCGTTTGTTTGATATACATTGTTTGAGACGCTAAAGGCTCCCCCTAACTTACTATTACGTGTGTTCCCTAATTTGAAAAAGTGGGCATTCTTTACGTCGTTATTAACATAAATGTCTTTATTAATGTAATCATCTTCCCTTTTAGAAAGCTGCCTCGTAAAAACCGTTAAAAAGAGCAATCGAAGTGTCGCAGACGGGCTAATCCTCTTACCGATTATTTTCCCGTTAGTGTATTTTATTGGTATCAAACACTTGTGAGGTAAACTTTACGAAGCATATTTTGAACGAATCTTCAAGCATATGTGGTTGCAACTTCGCAATATTGCTTCTTTCGTACTTCAAAAGTAACCCAGCCTGAGCGGAGAACATATATACCTTAGATGCAAGTTGGGCGCTAGTTAAACAGACTGCTATATCAATTATTTACAAAATTTAATACTGTATAAATCTAACTAATAAATATGTCCAGGAGTAATAGGGGAAACGCATGTAATGCAAATGCGTGCAATTCTTGAAGTATATCGATCAAAAGTCTCCTGGCCGTTTTGAAAAAAACTCAGTTGACAATCTGAGTCTTCATCTAATCTTCTTATACGATGTGTTACTCTTTTTCTGCTTAGACCGATGCAAAATTGAAACACTCGTGCTGTCAAAATATTTCCTCATCATATCATAACAGGTACCTCAATTATCAAATATATACATGCCATGCGATGTTACGATGACATCCAAAATACGACTTGAAATCAAACTACGTAAGGTAGATCAAAGCCACAATTGCATGTCAGATACCGCATGACTTAGTAACTGAAAGAAAAAAGAATAGAAAAATCTGTCAATAAAAACTCACATGCCTAAAACATGGAAAAAAAATTGTCAAAACGTCACGTGCTAACTGTATAAAATGCCTCTTCTAAGTAGTAAACATTGCAAAGCATTATTACAACAAACAAGCAAACAATTATTATTCAATATAATAAAAAGGAAAATGGTCATTCTGCAAAAGCAAGCCGACAAATCAAGCAATGGGTCCATATGGATCTTTCTCGTGCCTTGATCTAACACTACGTTAACATACTTCTAGAAGGAATAAGTCAGTTCAATTCAAGAAGATTCAGTAGCAATATAGGTTTTTCAAGCGGGAAGCGTGAAAAACTATTAAATAACCTAATTATGAAATCTATTGACTTTCAGAAGAAAACAAAACTTCAGATATTAATTTTGGTAAATGATGTAAGTGCATATTAAATAATAGGTTTCTTTTTTTCTGTGCTATGTTTGACCGCCGTTGTGGCTTGCATTTTAGTATTGACATACCTATCTTGATATATGACGTTGCATTTACCTACGTATATTGCATTTATTTAATGCAATTATATCTCTAATTTTTGTCTCTAATTGTGTCAAGAAATAAACAACGGGCTTAAATAACTGTTTATCAGATTTATGCAGGGTTTTTAGGGCGAAACTCAGCACGGATATATAGATGTATGTTCGCAAACAGCAAAACGCATGTATACCCTCTTACCTAAATAATGACATCGCGCGCTCAATTACAATTATACAACCCAGTTATAATGATATCTGACAACATATATTTAGAACTGATGCTTATCGTGTCATAGGATGGCGGGCTGCTGTGAAAGCTTCAGCCCAAGCAAAAGCTTATAAATTTTTTTTCTCTATTAATGACACATTAGCTGATTATTGTCTTTGCTTTTAGATAAAAATACCCTGTCTCTTCCGATCATGTCGTACTCGGCTTCATTATGCTGCTTTTATGCCTGACATAGGTACTATCAGTGCAGATTAAAGCAGAGGCGGTTGTCAAAAAACGATTATGAAGGCATTGAGGACAAATGTACCTGAGTTGTTTATACAATACTTTGAACATTGTGAATCGTGTGTACAGCATCACTGAGCAGAATAAACGAGTTCATAAAGAAGATTACTTTTGGATTATCTCTGGACCACTGAATACCGAAAGACCAAGCACTAGGAAGAGCAGACAACATAACGGAGACCTCAATTTCTCGCACGATTCAAATCAAAGCAAGCATTTAATTATTAGAGTAAATATTAGATGGATAGGGACTGAATTCCTCAAAATTCTTCTTTCAGTATCTACAGATACATGTGAAGAGAAAACAGAGCATAGTACTATGTAAATAAAAAGAAGTTTTATAATATTTAGTCTCGAACATATGCTACTTATTGAGTAAAATTTAAATTATTCGTCTTAGTAGCTTTGAATAGAAACATTAATATCTACTAGAAATAGTACAAGCACAGCTATTTCTAAAAGCTAAAAAGTTCCCATGAAACTAAGTTAAGTTAAGGTCACTCTTGTTGCACCAAGGGAGACAAAAAATGTAGGACAGAAAACCCAGGATACAAATCCAACGTAATTCTATAGCAAAATGACACCGATAAAACGAATTTATTCTAGATCGTATAATCAATAAAACATTATTGCTCCGGATAATTTCAAAAAAATCCATATTTTCCAAAAAATTCCATAATAGCGGTTAATGTCGAACGTGATGTGATTCATCCACAGGGATTATCTTCTAGGTCCCCAGTTCGAGGAACTAAAAATCATCTTAAGGGTTAGGTACATGAACAAAGTAAGCGCAATGGAAATTTTCATTTCCATTATATTTACTTTCTAGAACGTTATTCAGAGATACCCATAATGCTTTCTATAGAAATAAAAAAAAAATCGTTATTACCATAGGGTAGCTGTCTTTCGATTCACCCTGGTCACGTCAAAGCGCTAACTCTTAAATCCTTCTGTTAATAATTTTCTTGGCGAAACGATGCTCCTTACACACGCCTAGACGGAAACGAGATTATTTGCAGTTCCCTTTAAGAGTTACTGCCCATATTTTTATTAAATCATATTGACGATATCACTTATGTATATAATTTCAGGGAAAAATGTTATCAGACCTTGGAGAGATACTTGTCTGCATACAGCTAAAACGTTATTTCAACAAGTTCGTTATGCACCTCACTATTGTATGTATATATGTACACTTAGCAACGCTTCGAGGAGTATACTGGCGACTGAGTTAGCCTGATATATGATTTACCTCCCGAGTTTCAGACATCGTCAAGCAGAGCCCCGACTAAGCAAATACTCCTTAACAATTAGCGTTTTCGTTCCGTAACCAGTTCCATGAAAAGTTATTTTTGGAATAGGCAAATGAACGTCGGAATACGGCGCTTAGGAAATAAATACAAATATATGAAATTAAAGACTTAGATCTAATGAAACAAAATGGGCAAAATGTGACGCCAAATAATTTGAGATCTTTAAGAGTTTATCGACTATTGTATTTATCTTTGCGGATCCGAAGGAGACTGATACCAAGTTAACAGGCACCAAGTTTGAGTAGCACTTACTTATTTATCTAAAAATATAGCCTTTGTTTGTTGGACATTATTGGAGCAGACAACAGGCATCATCCGGTTATCCTCCCTACCAAAGGATTCCTGTTTTATAGACTCAGCTAAAAGGCTACGGTCTTAGATACTAACCCTTAGCTATATTTTTCTATTAAGCGTGATTATTTCAATGTGTAGTTGACAATGGAAGGTTGTCTTATGCTACTACAATTGCGTCTTTTGGTCTGTGCTGGGCAAGCGCAGTTTTGCCTTTAGAGTCGATACATTTTTGGCTAGCGCTCGGTACCAGAATTTTGTTTGTATTCGGAGTGAGTCTTCAAGACCAAGTTTGACCAACGAAGGCCAAGCATAGCTTTAATTGTATCGTTTTTGAGTTGCTTTTCACTGTTTTTTTTTGTAAATCACGTCCCAGACTGTAATACAGTAACATAATACAGGTTCAGTAAAACTACGATAGACAGACATAGAGGCGCATAATAAAGGACCAGCATTACGAAGACGGGATAAACGCATAACTGCTGTTTTTGTCTTACACCTAATAAGAGTGCTAAGTTCTATCCAGTTCTTACTTTTCAAGCGGAAAACTTAAAGAAAGTGCTGACAAAGGGCAAAACAGGGGGTAATTATCCAAGATAGCGTTGTTGTCATCAATGCGGACATTCGACTAAGTTGACTTGAAAACAATTCATTTAGTCCTGGATACGTTTAATGTCGTTTGCAGTGAAAAAAAAAATATTTTGCCGTCTTTCTAAAGAGTTATATGATTATAGCCGGTATGGCTTTATGAAGACCTGGTCCACATTACAGGCTTAATACA